ACCAAAGTTATACTTTTGAGGTATCAGTGGCCAACAAGGAAGGGTTTATTACCTAGTAGGTAATAACTGCTCTCTTCATGATAGAATTTGTAGAGACATTACCTTGGTCAATATTGTCCATTGACAAAAATATGGTTTCAGAGTGCTATGATCAATATTTGGGCAATGTGCATTTTGCATCATGATCCTGGTCATGTCAAAAGTCTCATTACTGCTTGATTCTTTTCTCCTTTCTTATTTTGTCCTTAATATATTCTTGAAATCCTGACAATCACTTTTTTCAATATGTCACAGTTGTGTTGTATTTCCTTCTTTGTCCATTGTTATATTTTCCACGGTTGTCTGCTGAAAAGAATATAATATCCCTTAGAGTTAAGAAAATATTATTCTGGCAAGTGGCAAATTATAGGCAGTCATTGCATAATTTCTGAGCGAAATGAGCAGTTATTTGCCCAGAGGGAACATGAAGTAGCCATGAAGGAAAATGACCCCATGTATCTTGAAGGAAATTAAAGAGTAAGAATCTGTGACAATTAGGGTGCCTAAGTACTATAAATCTGGCTCTTCTATTAATTTCAAATAGAACCTTTCAGAAAGTAAGGCATTTACCAATGAAGGTGTTAAAATATAAATTCTACCACCAAAGGATCCGCTGTTACAGTCTCAGAAATAGCCTAGTAAAATATCTAACATGTTGTTGTAACAAGAAAGTAGAAATTATTTTCAGGGACATGATCATTAGAAAAAGTGGCACTAATGGAGAAGGGAAGGCAGTGGAAGGATCATCCGTTTGCAGAGGTTTCAGGCTATCTATATATACAGTGGATATTTTTCTTCCTTTGTGGTAATAAAAAAAAAGTCCAAACAGGCAATCTTCTAGACAAGTAAATGAATAGGTATAATGGTTTGTGACATTTTGAAAATATAAATGAACACATGGAATGTCCTATTTCCTGATAGTGTGATCTTAAGCACATGAATTCTGTCAATATAGAGAGTAAACAAAAATAACACTAGGGATAGGGAAATAAAAACAATGTTTAAGCACTGTCCAGAGCACACCATTCCTACCTGGGCTCCATGTGTACATTATCGGTCTGCACGCTTTCTGCTAGAACAGCTTGCAGATGGAAGAGGCAGAATCTCTCTGAGAAGATAATTTCCACATAGAATGCGCCATATCATTTCCTATCTCTTGGCTACTCCTTCATGTTCATTTTATTGATTCTTCTAAATCAAATTTTATCTGCTTTCATTTAACCATGCATCCAGTCCTGTTGGTATTTCTTACTACTCAGCTTTTCATAGATTCCTGAGTTGTGTTCAACTTGCTCTTATTCTTATAAATGAAATAACCAATGCATCAATGAAGCCTCTGAAACACTTCTGTAGATAGATGAAGAGGCTGATAAGTTGTCCTAGGTGTAAATTATGAATCACATCTAGGAGTGAGGATGCGTTTCTGTACTTTGTGTGCCCC